CGTCCTCATACGTTGCGCGGCGGGAGCGCAATGCATCCCATACTACCCCAAGCAGACCAAAAACTTCAGCACCCCGGGATCCGATCTCGACAAGTCGCTGGAGTAAAGCCTGTGCGAAATCAACTCGGGTTTGTTGAATACGTGCGAAGATTGCTTCTTGTGGGACGCCATTGGTGTTGGCCTCCAGACATCTCTGTACGACTACAGCCATCGATTTCTGAACCTCGCGATCCATCATAAAGTCTGAGCAATGCTCGATGGCGAAAAATTTCCAACTATGGAGGAGTGACTGCGATCAAACACTATTAGTACCCATTCATATAAGGATTGCACGAATACATACCACTTTAGCCTCAATCAGTGACAGATTGAGATTAGCGCGTTCGAACTCCTGGCTAAAGCCTTGGTTTCGGCTTCCTGCCCATGCGAAATCGTAAGAGAGAAGCTTTTCGCCAAGACGAATATCATAACAATAATCACGGCCCAGGGTGCGAGGCTGCAACGTCGTCCTTTTGAAATCAGCTAGCTTGCAGCCCGAATACCTCATCTCAAAGTTCTTCTTCAAGTTGGCGTGTAGTGAGGCATTGTATCCAGAGACCTCAACTGCATCTTTCGCGTACCAAGACACAAGCGGAATCAGAGTCTTATAGAAGGACCGATCCTGCATTTCCTTTGCGGAATGTAAATACACAGTGCAGAGATCAGCGACGACAGCTGCAATTCTGGTAGTGAATATCTGATCTACCACAGATAATGACGCTATGTTCAACTTCGAGACATATTGCACGAGGCTGGTGAAAAACAGGGAGTGCTTTCTCAGCTCAGAGGTAGCCCAGGGCCAATTTTCCTGGGCATGAGAGACAAACTCTAGTAACGCAAGAGCTACCTGAAGATCAACTTGGTCGATGTTTGAAAGTGTATCCAGAGCAATCTTCAAAAACGGTGTTCCTCTCATAGCCGGGGCCTTTTGATCGTCGGTTTTTCTCAGTGTTTGACGAGGAGAGGATCCGGTAAGAATATAGACTGCAAGCCATTGCTGACGTTTGGTGACAAATGTTGACAATAGCTGCCATATTCCCAAATGTAGGTTTCGATCACTCAACGGCTTGTCAAATTGCGATAGAATATCGAGAAAGAGACAGGATGACTCGGCTCCCAAATGACCAATCAGGGACGGTGGCTCTTTGTCAGAATTCAAAGCTGCGCCTGTGATAAGTGTGTTAAGAAGAGATATAATAGGTAGTCGGTAGGCGTCATGCAGTGCATATAGTTTGACAAGAACTGGAGCTGCCTTGAACAGTTGCTCTTCCAGTAATGACGGCGGTGTATCAAGTAGCTGGGCGGATTGTAAAAGTCTGGTCGAGAGTATGAGTGTCGAACTGACCTGCCTTTCTACTAGTGTCAAGTACCGAAGATATAATGTGGGTGGGGTTTGAAGGCCGTCAGCAATGAGTCGAAGGATCGGGTTGAAAGGGAGATCACTTGTCGAATGCGGTCGTAAAACATCTAGAAGATACGTCGCTGAGGACGAGAATACACCAGTAACTTTCGCATCCAGTTTAGTAGTGTCATTCGTGCCATAAGCATAGTAGAGTATTCTTTCGAATGTCTTGGCGAGTGCAGCGTTGATCTCAAACCTCTGTGCTGGGGAGTTAAATCGCCAATTGATGCTGCTGTTATACACTTCGACCATTATTCGAACAAAGTTCAAGAGAACACCTCTCATCATATGAGATGGAACGCCAGCAGTCCAATCAGAAACGGCTGCGGTCTTGCCCATTATGCTATTGGGGCTTCTCCTCAAAACAGCACGGGAGACAGCGTCGCTAACGATGGACTCGAAAAAACGTACGCAGCTAAGGAGGAAGGGATATTCGCCTGATGTGACCTCGAGGGCGGAGATGACTGCGGTCATGATGCCGCCTTTGCCATCAGAACCAAATAGGCTGCTCCGAGACAGGAATGGCCATACTCTGCCAGGCAAAACTTCGATAAGAGCGGTGATAAACCGCAGACAGGCAATAACAGAGTCCAAAACATTCTCAGAGCCTGCTCTAGGTCCAATATGAGACAGATTGCGTTCGAGAATGTCGAGTACCACTGAAACAATATCGCTTTGACGGGCTAACCCGTCGCTTGCCATCTCCAAGATCCTCTTAGCGCCTGAGTCATCGCCATTTTGACGTTGTGTATCCCTAGAGGTACTGAGGAGATCTGCCAAGAGCCCTATGATTTCCGCGATAGAGTCCTCTCCCCATCCTGCTGAGTATCCTCCGTTCTCATTCCATTCCTCCAGCCAGCTTCCTAAGTAGCTTAGCGAAGAATACTGGTGCTGCCACATAATAACAGCGGGCCTTGACTCGGACACAACTTGCCCAATTGTTGTAGACGGAACTTGAGATGAGCCCGTAACAACCAGAGCATTGCTGGTTTGAGTTTCAGATAGCTGCCTTCGAGGGGATGAGCCAATCATTGGAAGGGATTCGACGAGAGTGACGAAATTTGCGTTCTCATCTTCCCGTATCGTCTCGTACCCTTGGAAATCAGGCGGCAAGGCCTGAGTAAATGTGTCCATGTTCTCCATTTCATTGAGAATTTCCGGAATCCCTTCGTCGGTAACTAGGTCTTTGTTGATAAGAGCGCGGCAGAGTTTCAAAAACGGCACTGTCTCATAAGGGAATCGCGACCGGGCTAGTCGAAAGATATTGTCCATCAAGAGGTCATCCTTGATGAAAATACACCGTGGGTCACTAGAAGGCGAAGCCAGGCTATTTCTGGGCCATAAATATTCTGTGGATGAGCCCACAAGGATTGCCAGAACGGATTCCACAATTTCGGGCGAATAATCTAAGTACACCACGGCCACTCGGATGAGATCCAGGAGCACCGTTCGAGCCCAACGGTTCGTTAAAATATCGTCAACTGCAGATGTGGAGCCAACTTTGGTAGCCAGATTCATGGTGATCTCAGAAGCCATGATCCTCATTTCATCTGAGGTCAACAGGGTTATAGAATCATCAGCCGTGTATTTCGGAGTTCGTGCGCATTCTAACAACTCCTCATACAGTGAAATTTCTGAAGCTCCGCCCGCGGTAGATTGAGGAGTATTCGATTGAAATGAGTCAACTGCGCTGTGAAACTGTTCCAACTCCCGGTTCTCTTTGTCATTGAGGGCAAGCTCTCTCATAGTGTTTAAAACCAGTCCCCATGCGAACGCTGCGGGGCTTGCAACTTTGGACTCCACCACTGCAGAAACAAAAATCTCATTCACCTGACCAATCTCATCCTTCGAGAGAAAATATGGTGGTTTCGTATTAGACTCTGGCATAGGAGTTTTGTTTATGATGGAGGGAATAGTAAGCGGTAGCTTCATGAACGCAAGGGTCGTCAAGCTCACAAAAGCTTGAAGAGGGAGTAATACTTCTGGCGGATTCTGACATGGCTTTATGAGGTCAGCTTCATAGAACTTGATGGCAGGAAGGAAGTTCTAGTACTACTCACGATTTGGAGTGGCTCAAGGAAGTTGTAATCGCCCATGAGACGAAGCCAGGACACGAAATCATTGGCGGAAGGGAGCTCCGCAGATGATTGAAGATGTAGAAACAGAATTTGGACAATGTGCAATATCTCTTCAACAAGTGCCGTTCGCCACAAATCTTCCACGCTCTCGCTACTTTCAGCGAGTCCTAGCCATCCTCCATCGCCCTCCAATGCTGAAAGGCGAACCTGGATAGCTGTGATGCATGCTTGAATGAAAGTGCGGGATTTATCACCAGCAAGCTTGTTGTTGAAGAGTGTCGCTCCCAATTGGCACAACAAGTCGCCCCGTTTCCGTTCGGACTTTTGCGGAGCAGGTTCGTTGACGTTGCTGTGCAGAGAGAGAGCGAATAGCCTCCGAGCCGTCTTTATAATATGCGTTTTTTCCGACAAGTAGAGCTCTCGCAGACGCAGACGCCTACTTTCTTCAGAAACAAACCCCGAGGGATTGTCCTCACGACCGACTTTCTGACTGAAAATTTCAGCAAAACTGGGCCCAGCCAGCGACATGCGAAAGTTCTCAACACCAGCTGCGCTTTGCAAACTTGTAGATTCTTCTTCAGAGAATCCAGACAGAAGGCGTGTGACAGGGCGGTTTTGCCATTCTAAGACTGCAATTCTCAGAGCGCCGATTTCATCAATGCCGGCTTTCTGGCTCAGCCACAAGGCGTCTTCTTTGAGTTCCTTCAGGTTATATGAAGCTTGCGCTGTGGTCTCCGCATGGATCGCAGCCGTTTTCGATTCAAAATCTGACTTTGTTTTCGCCGAAGAGGAGGCGAACCCGTCTAAACAATTTGCGAGAAGCTGAACGCTTTCTGGGTGCGACAAGAAAGCATGCAGACTGCCGGTGTCGTCTACGTCATCCTCGGGACTGCATGTGTAAAGAAATGCTCTCTTCCAGGACCTAAAGAGATGGTATAGTTAGCCTTACTTCTCTGTTAAGTATTGCATATGCGCGTACAGAAGCTGGACGTCCCCGGAAAAGCACTTGTCCAGGGACGGGAAATAGGCTTCCGGAACGGGAGCCATTGGCGCAACAGCTATATCATTCTAAGACCTAGAAAGATACAGCTTGTATGCGCAGGCAGGAGGGGCCTAAATAGAGTAAGGTCGATAAAGCAATAAGCGTAGGAAGCTGAGAGCGGGAACTCAAGAATATTCAAGGAGCACTTTTGGCTGAGGTCAACAATCAACGCCTATCTTGGTTTAGTGCAGGGCGGTGAGACTAAATTTTGCGCAGTTTGACAGACAAACCCGTTTGGGAAAGGCGATGGATGTATCGGGGCCGGAATGTGGCTACAGTGAGTCAAACGCCCCGCATTAGAACAATTCGTTGCCCAACCCTCAACAAAGGTAAGTTAGCTGTTGCTTGAGTGATAGACTTCTGTCTGCGCTTATGATTCTCATGTATATTGCTCATTTCAATTATTGACTCTGACGTCTCTTAGATCCAGGTCTTAGTCATGTCGGGCTCCGATCTCGTGGACCATTCCCCTCATCATCCCACCAAAGCCTCACGGCTTGATAGCGCGTCAAATGTCATTTTGATCGACAACTATGATTCTTTTACCTGGAATGTTTACCAATATCTCGTTCTTGAGGGCGCCACCGTTCAGGTGTTTCGCAATGATGAATTATCCTTGGAGGAATTGATCGCCAAAAAGCCGACCCAATTGGTCATCAGTCCTGGTCCGGGCCACCCGACAACCGACGCTGGAATCAGTAACGCTGCAATTCAATACTTCAGCGGCAGAGTACCAGTTTTTGGTGTGTGTATGGGTCAGCAGTGCATTATCTCTTCCTTTGGTGGCAAAGTCGATGTCACTGGCGAGATCTTGCATGGTAAGACGTCCGTGATAACACATGACGGCAAGGGTGCATATGAAGGGCTGCCGACCTCGCTCGCCGTGACTAGATATCATTCCCTTGCTGGAACCCACTCAACGATCCCTGATTGCTTGGAGGTAACCTCTTACGCCCAGCTGGGTGAGGATAGTAACAAAACCGTTATCATGGGCGTGAGGCACAAGCAGCTTGCCGTGGAGGGTGTCCAGTTTCATCCTGAAAGTATTCTCACCGAGTATGGCCGGGGGATGTTTAGGAACTTCCTCAAACTTACAGCGGGTACATGGGAGGGTAACGGCAAACAATCCAGTGCACAGAGTGGCACTTCTGTTGCGACTGGGTTGGCTGCCCCGAATAGCACCTCGAAGGTAGACAAGAAGACATCCATCTTAGAAAAGATATATGATCACCGCAGGGCTGCTGTTGCCATCCAGAAGGCTATTCCTTCGCAACGGCCCGCGGATCTTCAGGCTGCTTACGACCTCAACATTGCTCCTCCACAAGTCTCATTTCCTGCCCGTTTAAGACAATCACCTTATCCGTTGTCTCTTATGGCCGAGATCAAGCGCGCTTCCCCTTCCAAGGGTATGATTGCAGAGAACGCGTGTGCCCCCGCCCAGGCTAGAGAGTACGCCAAGGCCGGCGCCAGCGTTATTTCTGTCCTCACTGAGCCAGAATGGTTCAAAGGCAGCATCGAGGACTTGCGTGCCGTCCGCCAGAGCTTAGAAGGCGTTACAAACAGACCTGCAATCTTAAGGAAGGAGTTTGTCTTCGACGAATATCAGATTCTAGAAGCCCGTCTTGCTGGGGCTGATACTATTCTGCTCATCGTGAAAATGCTCAGCGTTGAGCTTCTTACAAGATTGTATCACTATTCTCGCAGCTTGGGAATGGAGCCTCTCGTTGAGGTTAATACTCCGGAGGAAATGAAGATTGCGGTCCAGCTTGGAGCCGAGGTGATTGGCGTAAATAACAGAGACTTGACAAGCTTCGAGGTTGATCTCGGTACGACGAGTCGTCTCATGGACCAGGTTAATGAGAATACTATTGTTTGCGCTCTCAGTGGAATTTCCGGGCCCAAGGATGTCGAGGCTTACAAGAAGGAAGGTGTCAAAGCAATTCTCGTGGGAGAGGCACTTATGCGAGCATCTAACACATCTGCTTTTGTTGCAGAGCTTCTCGGAGGGTCTTACGAGAAATCTGCTCAAGCTTCACGAGCCTCGCCGTTAGTCAAGATCTGCGGTACACGATCTGAAGACGGAGCTCGGGCGGCAATTGAGGCTGGTGCTGATCTGGTTGGTATTATTCAGGTACAGGGACGAAAGCGAACTGTTTCAGACGATGTTGCTCTTCGAATTTCTCAAGTTGTGAAGTCGACGAAACGACCTGTGCGTCATGCCGCTTCGACAACTCAAGGAACATCAAATGCAGCCTCGGTTGATTACTTTGATCATGCTACCAATGTTCTACGCCATCCCAACCGCGCCCTGCTCGTGGGTGTGTTCCAAAATCAGTCATTGTCGTACATCCTGGAGCAGCAACAAAAGCTGGAACTTGACGTAGTTCAATTACACGGTTCTGAGCCATTGGAATGGGCTAGGTTAATACCGGTGCCTGTCATCCGCAAATTCGGTCTTGAGGAGACTGGAATTGCACGAAGAGCATACCACACTCTGCCCCTACTTGATTCTGGAGCTGGTGGCTCGGGTGAATTGCTCGACCCATCCGGTGTTCAAAACGTTCTGGACAGCGATGCTGGCCTGCGTGTTATCTTGGCTGGCGGGTTGGATCCCACAAACGTTGCTGACACGATCAAGAAGCTAGGAAACTCAGGTCACAAGGTTGTTGGGGTAGATGTCAGTTCTGGTGTGGAGTCGGATGGCGCTCAGGATCCGAGTAAAATCCATGCTTTCGTGCAGGCAGTGACAGGACTTCAGCAGTAATTCATAGGCTTTTTTGTTCTCAGATACCAGCAACTTATCACAGATCCACAGCGATGATCATGAATAAGTTTCCTTTTATCTTTCGAGTAATGACTCGATCTACACTTCAATTTCGGGCTGCGATTCACTTTTAGTTTATGACCTAGTTTTGAGATACAATCAACTGTGTCAAATCAGATGTGTATATAAGTTCGAGGTTGCGAACTATGCTCGAACTCTCACTTTCAAATCATCCTGTTCTTACAGTTAATCTCTTTCACTGCTTTCACCCAACCTAGCTCTTTCACTCATCCTAGCTGATAAGTAGTTGTTACCAGACCATCTACTAATAGTTGCCTCCTCGAATCCCAAGTTCTCTCCGACGATCTACCTGTCCTGCTCCACAAATCAACCGCCCACCTATATTCATACAGTCAATATGAGCAAGTCTTTTGCAAAGGTTCACTTATGCTCGGCTGGGAGGCTTGGAGACAGCGGTAATAAAATTCCGCAATGGATTCAAGCAAACGGCGGAAGGTATTCTAGGCAAGTCACCCACGATGTGACGCACCTAGTTACAACCAAGGACGCCTATATGAACAACATCCCTGCAGGTTAGTTCCACAATACCTAAATTAATAGAATCTTGCTTTACTAACACATCTGACTAAAGTCAAAGAAGCTAAACGTCTCGGGACTGTTAAGATAGTGTCATATGAATGGTTGGAGGATTCTCTACTTTCCCGTAATCGAACACCAAAACGGGAAAAGGCATGTCTCATCGAGAATATCCTGAAAGAGGAAAGAAGAACAGCAAAGGAGGAAGCTAGGAAGACCCTAAAGCAGCAGGGCAGGTCTACGAAAAAGTCTGCAAGCAAGCGTACAAGTATGCTCTCTCTCAATATATATACATATCATCTCCCAAACAGGGCTCACATTATGATGTTAGGAAAATTAAACGCAAAAAGCCCTTCAGGTACCAACCGAGGGAAGAAATCTGGACCCACTACATGTATGTCCTGTGCTCCATGTGCTTGACCGGCTTAAGTGCTGATGGAGAGAAAATATAGCGGAGCGTCATGTTTACACGGACATGACAGCTCGTCAGACATACAAAGCAACGCTTGTCCGACAGACAATCTCGAAACGTAAAGAGAAATTTCAGCTTACGGTTAGTTACATATATGAATCAGGTCTTTGACTACAGATCGCGGTGGTTGTTCTATTCTCCACAACCAGTGCTGATACTTCGATAAACTGCAGATCTACGAATCCAATGGTGAACCGTGTACATATGAAACCGAATGCAGATACAGCCGTGTTGGTAAATCAAGCTCTCAGATTCTTGCTCCCACCGGAAGCAGCTTGGACACGGCCCTGACAGCATTTGAACGCTTTTTCGAAGAATATACGGGAAAGAGCTGGGCGTTACGTGAGGACGGAATCCTGCCACAGCCGAAGAGAGATGACGAAGATAACCTCCTACCTCAGCATGAGGGCTGGTATATCTACGAAGCCACCACGAATATATTTGTCGATTTCATCCAGAACGGCTCGGCCAGCAGCGCCAATATATTTGGAAATTAATCTGGAAGTGGCAGTCTCAGTCGAGGTTTTAAGTAGGTAGTGCTACTAATATACCAACTCTACTTTGTTTCACTGTCAGCAACCATGAGTGACCAGTTCGCTCCCCTCTTTCTCGGACTTGAGGCTTCCCATGCTAAAGCTACAAGAATCTCTTGCTTGATGCCATCTTGTCTCAATGACTGCTTCATACATTTGGAAGAAACCTTGCATATGGGAAATAACATGAAGATACAACATCAGTAGATATCCATTCTGGACACCTAGGTGTCTGTTTCTCTAGACGGGTATACAATAGTAAACAGTGATGTTAAACAGCTAAATGCTAACCTTTTTAAACCTTCCAACACCTTAAGCGCCAAGACAGACTTTTCTTGTGTCTTCGTAAGATAAAGATACATCGCACCAAACCGTTGCAGCCATCGCCAACGAACCGGCTCACAGGTAGTCCTTCTTCCTGCTGGTTCTGGTGTACTGTGTAAGAGCCCATTCAACATCACCACTAGAGCCCTTCTCCAGGGATCCGCCGCGGATCTCAAACAATCTCATGGTCATGCGTGGACCAACTTCGGCCAGTTCAACATCCCGATAACCCGTCTTCACGAACACGTGGTGCCGCACTTCGATACTGTCCTCTCTGTTCACAAAACTGACGACACGATTGCCGACCTTTCCAGCCTCACGCGGAGGGAAGAGATGCTTCAGGATCTGCACTACCCGAAGGCCGAGATTTGTCTTGAATCCCTCGAATATAAGATGGGGATAGCTCTCCGACACGGTCCCACGGGCGGCATTTGGAATGTCTGCACGAAGAACGACATTGTGAAGTGAGAAGCTAGCCGTCGGCCCATGCGGGAGGTGAGAAATGGTCATCGCTGTGGGGGTTCCTCGGTGTTCATGGAGGAGAATCATATCTGTCAACGCCGCAGCATTGGCACTCGATACAAGGTCTGGGAGAACAAGACCACCACGGTTCAGGCGAATCGATGTGGGAAGGAGCAGACGGATTTCCTTTGCAAATGCGCCTAAGCGGACAGACGGGTTTCGAGAAGTTGTGACAATGGGGCGAGGATCGACAATTCCTGATGTAAGGGCATATTCGTCGTCAAGGTCTAGCATATCCGCATCCTTATCTTTCTTGTCTGCCGTAGGTAAAGACTCGTCATATTTAAAATCTTCGCGAAGCTGTTTATCATTTGCGATGGAAGGATCAAGGGGTTTTCCAGAAGCTAGCGAGGCCTTCAATTGTGCTCGCTTTTCGGCGATAGAGGCATCGCGGAGAAGCAGCGCTCTCCGATAAAGATAATCTCGGCGCTCACGAGCTTGACGGCGCTAAGAGACAGTTAGTAAAAGTCTCCCGGTTCATAGCGAAGAGTGTAAATCATAATCGGGCCAAAACGTACAAGCATTTTGTTTGGATGGATGTCTTCAAAGAAACTGGTTGAAGCTTTGTCTTTGGCGGGCAACTTTTTTTAATTGCATTGGTGGTCCGCATGGGCCACCGGACTGTGTGGGATTTGGCGGCAAATAGACCGATAATAAAACAAGGCCAGCCGATCGCAAACCATCGAATCGCCGAGTCCTGTGAATTACAACTTTCTACCATCGAGGACAGACTGACTCGCCTTCATAGGGCTTTGTGGTGTATTAGGGACTCGGTTACTGATCAGTGAGAGTTACATGTGAGTTTTCATCAAGCATCGCCCATTCCAGACCAAGAAGAATTGATCGCTGAGACAAGACCTAAGCCTCTCATTCTTCTTGCCCCTCTACTGTGGCACGCTGCGTTATCTTATTAATCAAGACAGATCTCCCTTCCGCCTCGTTTTCTTCTTCAGCAACTGAGACGGCCGGTTGGTCCTTGACGCTCTTTCATCTCCAATTTATCCCAAACGATATATCAGGAAAGTTCGTGTATGACCGACTCGTGATTCTGATTTGTGGTGGACTGGGCGTTTCGGCTTTGCACGGTTCCAGCTTTCCAGCTCTTTGATAGCGCCTTATTAGAAGTTTCTTGTCCCTCCCGGGAAAGTATTTTAATCTGGATTCTACGACCGACGATGGCTGCTTTAGGCGATGATTTAAGGGAATTGGATGACATAACTGGTGGTCTCCGTCCGCGGAGGCATGACGATGACGATGACGGCTCGGATAATGGGGATGACGACCTAGAGAGTACAACTAGTGCTCCGGCTGTTGGGAATGCAGAAAATCAAAGACACACAGAGGAGGAAAAGGAGCTTCCGCCACATGCATGCGCGTAAGTATCATGGTATATCGCTACGTCTAGATCCAAGTTTAGCTAACCCTAGGTCACCTTGAAGATATTGCGGCATTCATAATCCGAGTAGTGTTGTGAAATGTCTGTCATGCAGCAAGTGGTTTTGTAGCGCTCGTGGAAATACCTCGTCCTCTCACATCGTCAACCACCTCGTTCGAGCACGACACAAGGAGGTGCAACTACACCCTGCCTCATCTCTCGGAGATACAATTTTGGAGTGCTATAACTGTGGAACTAAGAACGTCTTTCTTCTTGGGTTCATCCCAGCGAAGTCTGATACGGTCGTTGTATTACTATGCCGTCAACCTTGTGCAGCCATGCCATCGTCCAAGGACATGAACTGGGACACTTCCCGTTGGCAGCCACTTATAGAAGATCGTTCGTTCCTGCCGTGGCTTGTAGCTGCGCCTTCTGATCAAGAGCAGCTGCGAGCTCGCCACCTTAGCCCTCAGCTCATCGCGAAACTGGAGGAAATGTGGAAAGAAAACTCCCAGGCCACGTTTTCAGATCTCGAGAAGGCCACCGCTGTAGATGATGAGCCGGCCCCCGTTCTTCTGCGTTATGATGATGCTTTCCAGTATCAGAACATCTTCGGACCACTCGTCAAGATTGAAGCGGATTATGATCGAAAATTGAAAGAGTCACAGTCGCAGGATGGGCTGATTGTGCGGTGGGATCTTGGTCTCAACAACAAACATCTGGCTAGTTTCATTCTACCAAAGCTGGAGCTTGGCGATGTCAAACTGGCTGTGGGTGACGAAATGCGACTGAAGTACACTGGCGAACTGCGGCCCAAGTGGGAAGGGGTTGGATACGTCATCAAGATCCCGAACAACCAGTCCGATGAGGTTACTATTGAGTTGCGAGCAAAGGGAGATCATAAGTCGGTGCCTACAGAGTGTACACATAATTTTACTGCCGACTATGTATGGAAGTCCACCTCTTTTGATCGTATGCAACTCGCCATGAAGACGTTCGCAGTTGATGAGATGAGCGTTTCTGGTTACATCTTCCATCGGCTTCTGGGTCACGAGGTCGCCGCTGCACCAATGAAGACACAGATGCCCAAGAAATTCAGTGTCCCTGGCCTTCCAGAACTAAATGGTAGCCAGATCAATGCAGTCAAGAGCGTCCTACAGAGGCCTCTGAGTCTTATTCAAGGGCCTCCTGGAACCGGAAAGACTGTCACCTCCGCTACCATCATTTACCATCTTGCCAAACTCAATGGAGGTCAGGTCCTAGTCTGCGCTCCTTCTAACGTCGCCGTTGATCAACTCTGCGAGCGTATCCACAGAACCGGCCTGAAGACAGTACGTGTAACCGCCAAATCCCGCGAAGACGTGGAATCTCCCGTTGGTTTCTTGTCTCTGCATGAGCAAGTTCGCCTGAATGATAGCAATATCGAACTCCTGAAGCTTAACCAGCTTAAGTCGGAACTCGGGGAGTTGTCGAGTCAAGACGAAAAGCGACTGAAACAGCTCACGCGTTCAGCGGAGCGCGAGATTTTGAACAACGCTGACGTTATTTGCTGCACTTGTGTTGGTGCCGGTGACCCTCGTCTCGCGAAACTCAAGTTCCGCACTGTATTGATTGACGAATCTACCCAATCTGCCGAACCGGAGTGTATGATTCCGTTAGTTCTAGGATGCAAGCAGGTTGTTCTTGTTGGTGATCATCAGCAACTTGGACCCGTCATTATGAACAAGAAAGCAGCTAAAGCTGGTCTCAACCAGTCGCTTTTTGAGCGACTCGTTATCTTAGGTTGCTCTCCTATCCGCTTGAACGTGCAGTACCGTATGCATCCATGTCTGTCAGAATTCCCCTCGAACATGTTCTACGAAGGTTCTCTGCAAAACGGCATTTCTTCTATCGAGCGTCTTCGTCGTGATGTTGACTTCCCCTGGCCCATCAGCGACAATCCCATGATGTTCTGGTCGAACTTGGGCAATGAGGAGATCTCTGCCTCCGGAACATCTTATCTTAATCGTACAGAAGCCACAAATGTGGAGAAAATAGTGACTCGTTTCTTCAAGGCTGGTGTGCAGCCTCAAGACATTGGTATCATTACCCCTTATGAAGGCCAGCGTAGCTACATCGTTAGCTCCATGCAGGCAACGGGTACCTTCAAGAAGGAACACTACAAGGAAATTGAAGTTGCTTCCGTTGATGCTTTCCAGGGACGAGAGAAGGATTTCATCATTCTCTCTTGCGTGCGTTCCAATGACCACCAAGGCATCGGTTTCTTGAGCGACCCGCGTCGTCTCAATGTTGCACTTACACGAGCGAAGTATGGTCTAGCGATACTTGGTAACCCAAAGGTGCTATCTAAGCATCCTTTGTGGAATTGCCTGTTGCAGCACTTCAAAGAACGGCATTGTTTGGTTGAGGGACCTCTGTCCAATCTTCAGGAATCCTTGATCCAGTTCAGCCGCCCTAAACAGGCATATAGAGGGCCCCAGCGATTCCAGATGGCATACAACCACGCCTCCAGCGTGACCAGTGGAATGATGAATGGAAGAAATGGCCACCGCAACGACTTCCACGATACCGGATCCGTGGTAGGCTATATTCCTGACGATGTCTCCTCTGTCCACTCTTCTGCTCTTGGTGGTGTCGGTATTCCTTCAGGATATCCTCCTATGTTCCAGAACTTCGCAGACTCTTGGCCTGCCCTCCCAGGAAATCGTCGGGTCAATGGCAACAAAGGAAAGGGAGCGCCTAGCATTGCTGGTGAATCCATTGCGGCGACAGAATCTGACGTTACTGCAAGCATTATTGATGGCAAGAGTGTTGATCAGGGCGGCGTGAGTCTCGCTGGACTTAGTATCCACGATATGAGCAAACAGCCCAGTCTGTCTCAATCCGACCGTTTGAAGCGCTACGTCGAATCCGGTGGTCGCGAGCCTTACAAGCCTGGTGTTGCCGATAATAACAGCATCTTTGGTGGAAGCTCTGCCAGCATTCGTGTTACTCGTGGTGTACCAGGTCATATCATTGATGACGACGACACACGCAGTGTTTCTACTGCGTTTGCGAGCCAGGTAGGGGGAAACTACGATTGATTGCGGTAACGTTGCGTTGTACGCTAGTCTGGGTGGCACCAGAACCTTGCAGCTCTCGCAAAGCCCGGGATACGACTGTTCGCAGCACTGTGAGGGTACTCAAACATCTTTTGGTGACCTGATAGACCGCTCGAGTTGTTGACCGTCTCTTTGGGCATGACAAACCCGCACCTCAGGGTAGCATCAATGAAAACATGTCTCAGCCATATGGTGGAAGATGGAAAATATTCCTCGACCCTCGAATTTCTCTTCCACGATACATATATCTATATCAAGATATCACCGTTACCTTTCCAGGGGTCCAAAGCAATGACTGTACCATTTGTCAGGGTGACCATATCCAGTATCCTTGGCAGGAATATGGTCCTCCATGAAGCAGCACGGGAGTGGTAGTGGTCTGGCATGCATGTGACACCTGCTGATTGACCAGTAGCTGTCAAAGGCTATGTCATTTGAGGATTAATGGAGTGTCGATAGATTCGTTCGGCTTGCAGGCGACTTCTCAGGCTACAGGAAAGCTCAATATTTTCACCCGCGATGGCGAGAGTGAGCTCATCTGAAAATTCTATGGATAATTCATTTTTTTCTTTTTCTTTTTATCTTTTTCCGTCTCAACTTATGTTATTTCAATCTTGATTATTTAAGTAGCTCTTCTGCTTTCCTTGTGGCACTGTCATTGTGGTGCCGTCCTCCTACATCCTTGGAGAGAGCAATTGTTTGCCCCTTCACATTTGCACTCCATACGCACCGTCCAATCTTTGTCGGCCGGAGGACCTATCCTATTTCTTACGACCAACTACGCTGCTAAGCCCTAGGAAATGAAATATGATTATTGTCGCTCGTTTCTAATCTATTACTGCGCCAATACCTCAGAGAGTAACACATCCTCAGCAGCCGTGCCTTTGCCCTTCCCACCGTGGACTCAAGGTGCCTTACTATGAGCTCGTAGGATCGAACTGAGTTGGTCATCTTGTGGCTGTAAACGACTGGATTAACTGCCATGCATCGCCGAAGTATCTAGGCACCTACAATTTTTCACCTTGGCACCTTCCAACCGAAGATCTGGATCTGGTAGCCTCTTAGTACGTAGTATCCTAGGTATCAGCTGAAGACGCAAACCTACGTACTAACTCAGCCACAGCGTAAATGACCAGTGATTGGTCTATTATCGTCTTTAAGTCGGCTACATTGGCCCAGCTGGATCAACAGTAGCTGAGAGTGACAGGATTGGCTCATGCAGCTCGGGATGTCGCGGCCGAATCTGATATTGCAAAGCTGCGCCACTGGGGGATCGGCCACCCTTATTCATCCTTAAGGGCTGTACTAGGGTCTAATATGCATACATGATTCTAATATTATCTATCATAATGATGGTGCCTGTTCTTGTCTGTACACAAGGTTATGGTTGTTTTTATTTTTGGTGTTTGAGAGGATGCTTAGCTTGCATTGTTCTGTGGCTGATGGTACGTGGTTGTGCTGACGATACAGAAGTTGTGCTTACAGTACAGTAGGTGTGCTGATGGTGCCGATAGTTAAAGATCAAGCCAAAGTATGAGGAAGAATAAAACAAAATAATTATAGTAAACATAATTAAAAAAAAAATATGTGTGCGAGAGAAGGGACATAATTCACGTAGACAGACAGACGCATCGATGGAGACATCAAATTGCGGTGTCAAGTAGCGTCAAAAAGTGGGCACTGTTTCATAGACAACTAACACCAGGTGAACTCTATCTATACATTCAACATGTCGAATTAACTTTGCATTTACCTCTCACTCTTCACATAGACCATAGTAGAGGTAGCATAGGTAAGATTTAGCCTGGCTCTGAAACATCTAACCGTCTTCTCATTGCCTTCGCCTTGGTTCGCCTTCACTAGAGAATCCAATCATAGTTCGGCCATTGACCAGCGGTGCGCCGACTGTCCGCCCGATGCAGGCGGTTCTCAGCAGTTCCGTGGATTGGGCAAGAAGTGTTGGCAATATTTCCATTAGGTACCTTAGGTACCGATCCATGAGGTCATGTTTGCTCGGTAGGCCCGACGTGGCCTGGTAGACGGTGTCAACTTAAGCTGGCAGTTTACGAGTAGCCTGCAGCAGGGTCTATTCCTCAAACGGAATACGGTCCTTCGTTGGACCTGTACGGAGTATGGCTGTGGTGTCTACCAGTACAAATCAAGAGAAATGCGGGTTGATGGTTGATTGATCGGCCCCTGGTGATGGCGGTGTGGCTGAGAAGCTCCTTTCCCAGCCACGTGCCATGGTTCTCATTGGCAGGCAACGGTGAGGCCGCGATCCCGGTGTGGCGGATGCCAGAAACGCAGATGGAGAAAAGGCACCGTACAATGTTCTTCAGCTTTTACCCCATTCCCCCGACTACCTTATGATTAATGTCATTTCCCATTCTTCGTCACCCAGGTTGTATTTGGTTGCCTGACATCAACCTCGCAAATGAGTCATTAGTCGAAGCCTAAAGATTTGATACCTACCCACCACGCTTAGATCTTTGCGCAGTTGCCGCTTTCTGTGATTCAGCGCCTACAAATACACACCGTCTCCGTCGGTTACATCGGACCACGTGTGCAGGATACCCTCTGGTCGAAGTTATTGATCATTTTATTTTTGGAAGCGCTCACTGAAAGCTCACTGAAACAAAGTATATTATGATTAATTGTTTTCCTTGACCGGGTACTCAGCATTACTACGATTACCCACCTCGGCATAGCCCTTGAATCGTGTGGCGTTGCTGCCAAGATTGCTTAGTCATTAGTGGAACTGGATGCCTTGTTGTTACCTGAAAAATTCGGCACCCCCGTTTTCCTAAGGAACCGACACCCTTCAGTGTGCCACTGAGAAGAACTCCAAGATCGACAACTTTGCTTTTTTTTTTAAAAATTTTTATTTTACGATAGCGCACTCGTCTTTGACTTGTGATCCTCACGAATCTCGAACCTTTGGAACCAGATACCATCTACGAGCGTTCCGTTCTTAGCTCGTCCTTTATCTACCTTAACAACCCGCCTCATCTCAATTGACGGCGGGGTCCACTACGATATGGGAGACGGTTCTGATTATCCTAGCCCACGAAGCGAAGGTCCCGGCGGGCCTGCAACTGTCCTCGTCACTGCCCAAGAACCTATCCCTCCAGCACCAAAAATGACTGATCAACTGTCTCCAAGTTTCATGGAAGGAGCTCGTCCGCGACTGTCGGTGAGACGGGCGCGAGATCCACCCAAGAACGCTGCAGGCCAGATCTATTGCGACCATCCTGATTGTCAGCACGCGCCTCCGACGTTCCGCCGCCCATGCGAATGGAAGTAAGTTCTTTTTTCATGCCCTCCTTTGATCGCTGGCCAAGCTAACCATGACATCACCAATAGCAAGCACATGGACAAACACGACCGCCCTTACAAGTGCTTAGAACCTGGATGTGACAAGATCCAGGGTTTTACGTACTCAGGTGGCCTTCTGAGACACCAGCGCGAAGTACACAAGAAGAATATAAATGCGAAGAAACCTCTGATGTGCCCATATGCCGACTGTAATCGCAGCACTGGCAACGGATTTACGCGTCAAGAGAACCTAAAGGAACATCTTCGACGCCGCCATATGCATACCGACAACGGCCACGCGTCAGAACTACCTATTGTGCCAGTGCCTGAACTGGATGGTACCGCGGCCCTGCCAGTCACTTCGCCTGTCAAGCGGAAGCGTGACTCGATCGATTCGGTCGAAATTCCTGACGAAGAAGAAAACGGCGTTGATCTGCGAAATGAAATCAAGAGACTACGACGCGAAGCCCAAATGAAGGATCGGCGGCTGGAGGAATTGGAAAGAATCGTTGCGGACCTGCAGCAGAGAATTCCGCAGACTGCAGTCTCGCAGGGATAGGTGGGCTCGGAGTGTGGTCTCATGAGAAATATCAGTTTGCAATGCATGTTATCTCTTCCACGAGCTGACATGGCTTTCTTCTTACCCCTTTGTTACTTTTGCTTTGCATTCCACGGGCGTTTTCACATGCAGAGTGCGGGCCTTTAGGTTTGCGTTCAATGTTTACAACATCAGTGGGCGGTTTATATGGATCGATCTACATCTCAGAACGCGTGGTTTACAACAGGCAGCTCTGAAGAATCTGGCGTTTGCTCGGGGTTGATAATACGGACCCGGCGGTGTTATTATGGTTGTCTCCCTTTCTATTCCCTGAAATATACCCAGGCGTTTTCCAACCCATCATCTCCTTTGTTAGTCTCAACAACTCCAAACTTGTCTTTGTATTCCTTTTCTCTCTTCTCCATACGACATTGTGACATTCTGAATCGTGTCAACCAGTGCCTGTACAAGGTGAAGAATGTATTGCCTTTTAGTGTATACGCATGGTATTTACAAGTACAGCTGAACAAGCTTCGCTAGTCACACTATCTGGCAGGGCTTATGTTGGTCTTCTCATGAAGTTCAGATGGGCACATGCTGATCTAGTATGTCTTGTGATTGTAATTGTCATCTCTTTTGCTTACAAACTCTTGATTGATTCCTTGTCACAAACTTTCCTTGTACACTTATTTCATAGCGTGTAGGTCAGATAGATCTGTCTTTCACATGGGAAGTACTAGGAGTAGCCCTGACCATGCGATTATCGTATCAAGAACAGGCTAGTGTATAATCGCCATGCGATATCTGGAAGACGATTCGCCACAACAATGCTAAAGGGGCTTTAGTTGGTGGGTAAAATCACTTATGACTCCAAATGACTCGTAAGTAACAAGGCTTTACGGTCTGACTCAACCCCTGAGGTGCCGATACGCGGCGCTCGCTCCATGATTATTCGCAGTTGTTACTAGATCTGAAGATGGATCATCTTATGGGAAGTCGTATGATAGTGTCATGTGAAGTAAATGCGTGGGGGGCGTCCAGCCGCGGTGCGGTACCTGTTATAGATCGAAAGAATAATTGCCTTAACTAACTAGGTCTTACTTTTGATTATTGATGTTTCCAACGTCCATGTTAGCAATGAAGTTTTATGTATATACACAAAGCAGATTGTGCGGCACATTGCTGAGTCAGCTCAGATTTATGTTGTTGCGGCCTGGCGAGCGACGTCGCTGCCTGCCAAACAAAGCCATGGGATTTAGTTCACAGTAAGAATGGCGTATGCGATTACCAGAACAACGATCCATAGAATGTCTACTTTTTCATATCTGATACACTGACACAATGGCTTTTCAACCTCGTACGGACATCACGTTTGATGCAAACAATTGATGCGCTCTTTAAACCCCCCATACATTTAAACTTGGATCGTCCGCTCAAAGCTTTAAGCGTCGCTTATGAAGATTCCGCTCTGTACGATCTCTTACTGGCACTACGCGGATTGGTCTGTTCCTGACTGGTTCCTGACCCAGTACAACCTATCTTTGAAGTATCTTATCACCCGTCCAGACTGAGACCCAAGAAAACATGGCCCATTCAACTCCTTTCACGGAGGTCCCAATGTCCCAACAAACAGACTCTCCATATGTTCGGACTCAGCAATATACACGAGGCGCTGGTAGACTCCTCCAACAACCAGCCGTCCCAATGCAAGCCGAATGGGGTCTCCCTCATCTTGACTCCGTTACCTCTACTACTCATATTTTCCCTGAAGGAGAATTTGTCCCATACAAGTTCTTCGAAAAGATCGGCCCAGAGTGGTTCGTTCCCGAAACAGAACAAAAGGAGTGGAAGTACTACATGCGCAGAGAGGCCCAAAAGATTTTACCATTTCTTTACCTGGGTCAATATGCCTCCATGAAAGACAGACACTGGCTCGAAGGCCAAGGTTTCACTTTACTTTTGGCTATTCGAGACGAAAGGTTTCCACACATCTGTGGCAAGAACGCAGCGGCTGAGCTGGGAATTGAAGCCGCGACCTTTGCGGTCCCACGGATTCAGGATTTTGTGTCCATAGGGCCTCATGTGATTCGAACAATCAATGACCATATCTCATCCTCGCATACCCCAGTATCCAACGAATGGCCCTACAAGAAAGTTTTTGTATTTTGCGAGACTGGGAACGGTTATTCAGGCTTAGCACTAGTTGCGTACTTAATGGTAATGCTCAACCTGAAGCTACACCACGCCTTAGCTGTGGTTCATATGCAACGACTATCTGTGGAAGCAGATGAACCATCGAGACAAATGTTAGCTTCATTCGAATCGATCATTATTGCCAAAAGGAACGTTGAAGAGGCCAGACGAGCAGCTACAGAGGGTACGAGCTTGATAGTTCCTCCCCAGACTATATGCAAAAAGAGGAGTTTTACGGATCGAGATGAAGACGAGGATATGGAAGACATCATGGATATGGGTGCAGATGAAGATGCAGCCTCTGATAGAAAGCCTGTGGCTCCATTCCAGGACCGTTGAGAATGGTTCGACTAGAACAAAATATTAGTTTTTCTTATGATGACCTAGTTTGGAATGGCATTGGTCATCATAGAAGTCGTTAGGATGACGTTGATTAAACACCACTTTCCTCTTCACAAATTATTCTTGCACCTTCTCGTTTTATTCCTTTGTACATTACAAGATCAATGATTCCAAACATCTTTCATACCCCAGGGTACTGATTTTCAATCACCAATCACCTGAAGTGACCTACAAACCACTGAACAATCAGCATTCATTCTGTATTCTAATAAACTGTACAAAGCACATTTGATAGATACAATTCGTTGTCTTCAGTCTAAGTCTAGTCCTTCCATTATTCGGAATTCTTTTTTCACCTTCTTGTCCCTTTTTCTCCGGGGTTTCAGGCCGACAAGAATTGATTGACTCAGCTGTAGCCATGATCTTTGTTGTTATTCACTATCCCTGAGGGGAGGGGTTGTTGAACCATTCACTGTATTGCTTATAACATTTCATGTACATTTCTCAGTCTGTTCGCGTCAAAAACCCAACCTGCAGCTAATTACTTATGAAAGTGGGAAATGGCCACTATGCGACTCCGTGAGAGTATCCGCCCTCCTGAGCGCTATGAATCAGAGCACTTTTACACGTCGCTAGGTCAAAAGTCACTTCGCCAGCACAGAAATACAAACCGTCCTCCCTACATCGATTTCAACCCCAACCTGCCTCCTGCTGTCTTCCCCACTCTGGACTTCCCTCGCCCAACGGTACCAGAGACTGACAAATGTACACAGAGCAAAGGAGAAGAAGAGACCAACAGTGAAAACACTCCACAGCACGGTCGCGAGCAACCTGGGCATTATGGGGAGGACAAGGGTAGTAGAGAGGCAGGAGATGATCTCGAGGACATCCCTATCCACCAGCTCGAGAGTTACGCTGCGAGCAACGGTGACTTGAACCCAATTTACGCCAAAAACATGGCTACGATAGCTGCTGCAGACCCGTCTGCGAGTAATGACTTGCACTATGAGACTGATGGCATCGATGCTCATGATGAGGATGATGTTAGCTAGTCATACACTCAATGTATTGCAGCCTTTAGTGGCCGGTAATGTACTGACAAAACTTTAGTCTACGCATGAGATCCCTAACCCAAAGTGGAGCGATTTATGTCCTGGAATTCAAGTGGAGATTTTCGACAATCTTCTCCAGTGCTATACTTGGAAAGACGCGTGTTATAAGTTAAATCTGACTAGAGAAGACCAAGAGGAAGTTGAAGAGCATATCTATGCTCGTGATAAGCAGATGGAACAGGAAGAATCTCAGATGAAAATTATGCGAAGGAAACAACTGAGAGCGCTCTTGAAGATTGACAATAGTGCAAGACATCTCCAGGATTCACACCAGTTTGTTTTCCGCAAAATCTCTCGAGGGGCCACTGGTTATCTGCGAAGGAGTACTATGCCAGACTATCTCATGTGCCATTCTAAAGAGGTTATGAACGCTAAACGGTATTTGCGCCAACACGGCCTAAACCCTAGATATGCCGGAGATTGGGGTAGTAGCATCAGCCCAACTCATCCCTCTGGAAACGACCAAGATCAAGATATGAGCAATCTAGGGAAGCAGGTGAACTGCGCGCAATACATGGAACTAGCCACAGATACGACTGATGATGACATGATGGATTTTGCTTTCCATCATAAAGCTCCAACTGCGATCCCGGATAAGCAGTCATTCATTAACACGATCGGGACGGCAGCTGTTGCTAGCCCGAGGGATATGGCGCTGTGCAGAGGTGACTTAAATGCAGCCCCAAGATGGTTGAATCTTCTTTACCAGCATTCTATACGGAACTACCAGCCAGCCTTTCGGGAGAATAAACTTGTTTGCCTCAAAATCGGTACCGAGCATGCCGCCCAGATTCACGATACCCAACCAATAGCTTGTATTCAGCCAGCGAGATTGGTAAAACGTTTCCCTCCCATTGATGCTATTTACTATGACCCCCCTTTATGGAACCCTGAAATTACTCAGAATAATGGAGCGAGAACTAATCCAACAATGCTTCCAAAACCTAGTTCAGCTTTGGGCAGGGAGCTGCAGCCTCTACAGAGAACAATGGGTGGGAACTGGTCATATAACTCGTTCGAATCTCATCGAGCAACATCTTCTATGAGATTCCAGCAGAAATTGGAAGAGGCACGCCTTGAGACACAAAGAGCGAGAAGATGCGGAACACAGCAACTTGCAGGTGATAGAGGTTATGAGCCATATTTTACCCCGAGGCAAAGCCCTGACGGCATAAGTCAGGCACCCTCACCCGCCATTGGGAGATTTATGTCTCCTAATATCTCAGGCGAGCTTTGCGGTACATCGATGTCGAGTCAAAGTGAGGACTCTTCAAGAACGGTTACTTCTACTGGGACCTGTCTTCATGACTCTACAGAACGGAGGGCTGCTTCTGGAACTATGTATTTGTCAAGCATCCCTTCCACTTCGTATCACAGCGGAAAGCGTCAGATTCAGCCTAGTGTCGCGCATACGATGCAAAGTGATGAAGAACAAGAAGTGCAGAGAGGTGAAGATGAATACTGTACTACTGATGACGAAGTGGTTCTTCTACCTGCGGGAAATCCCCACTGAACGAAGTGTCGATTGCGGCCACGTCCGTATGCTAGCATTGCAAACAATGCTGGTATTCATGCGGCAGATTTCACCAATGCTCAGTATGGTCAAGTAAAGGAAACCTGGTTTTACTTCCCCTTTGATTTGTTGACGATCTTCAAAGAATCTCGCCTGGAATGTGTTGCATACTCGGAATTGGTAAGCCACCGATATCATTCGAAAAGGTCGATGAGACCATTAGTGACTATGAGAATGACATTACAATGAACTCCATGTTTTTCTGCTCATTTTTTTGTTAAATACAGCCGCAGGCGGCCAAAAAAAAGGGGAGGTAAACTGCAAATACCATAAGAAAGACAAATAACGAAACCGTCACAGGCAGCTTGAAAGAACCTAGAACAATCCATCATACTACTACTGGTAGTAATGCTGTACACAGGAAGCATCTTCTGCATGTTCTAGAAGCCCACTAAAATCAATCAAAAGTTGGCCCGTGCGCTGACGCGAAATCTGCGCGTCCGAACGGCAACGATTAGATTACAGGCGCGGGCATGATGGCCAAATGCGCCAGTTAGCAACGCCGTCCACAGCCTCTCAAGCGCACGATCTTGGCCGGGTATCTTGGGTTTCCTTCATTTTAGATAGTTATATAAATCTAGCCGATACTCCTTTTGCCCCCTTTTCTGATTCGGTGGCCCTGTTTTTTTTTATTGGATTTGCGCTTGCGCCAGAGGGGCAAAATCGATCACGGTAACGACCGCGTCCAGACGCCAAAGATACATGATATGAAAAGTGTTTGGAATTTAACTCTTGGAAGATTCTGGTATCCGAAACAAGGAAACGCAGATATGTCAAACTCCGATACGCCTGTTGAGTCCGGGGGCATGCGGCAAGACTCAACACAGCCTTCTTCGCCGGTGACGAACGCCGGGGAGTCGGCTCCCGAGAAGATGGACGTGGAGGAGGAGAATACGGAGGAGATGGATGCGCAGGCTAAGGCGCTGATGCATCTATTGAGTACCAGTGAAGTGCGTGTTTCATCCTTGTACGTTTGGGGTGGAAAGAGCCTGTTGCTGACGGTGTCCTTCGCGTTTTGAATAGGTTTTTGTGGCGATCATGGCGGATAAGATGAAGAAACAGCAGGAGGACGCGAAACTCGAAGCGGCGAGACAGCACGAGCAGAAGAGTGCGGAGGCGATGACGAAGAAGAAGCCCACAGCTGAGCCGGCTGGGAGACGGGCGACGCGCACGAGTGCGAGGCAGAGCGCGGCGAAGGAACCTGTTGCTGAGGAGGAAGTGAAGACGGAGGAGCAAGGCGCTGCTGCGAAGTCGAAACGAGGTCGGGGCAGGAAAGTTGCTGCTCCGGCGGCTGCGAAGTCGAATACCATCTCCAGTTACTTTAAGAAGGCTGATGTGCAGGTTCCCGAGGATAATCCCACCGTTCAGGAGGCGCTGGAGCATGCTGCGGATGAGTATGAGGCCAATCCATCTGTTTTGGGCGGGCAGGATCTGGTCGCTACCCAGCAGCCGGAATTGATCACCGGGGGTCAGATGAAGAAGTACCAGCTGGAGGGATTGGAGTGGTTGAAATCGCTTTGGATGAATGGTTTGTGTGGCATTTTGGCAGACGAGATGGGTCTGGGGAAGACTGTGCAGGCTATCTCCTTGCTTGCCTTCTTCAAGGAGAAGAAGATTTCCGGGCCGTTTTTGATTGCGGCGCCGCTTAGTACTGTGAGTAATTGGGTGGATGAGTTCGCTCGGTGGACGCCCAGCATCAAGACGGTGCTGTACCATGGAAGCAAGGATGAGCGGGCGGAGATTCGACGGAAGATGATGAATTTGAAGAATCAGCGGGACATGGACTTCCCGGTGGTTTGTACTTCCTATGAGATATGTATGAACGATCGGAAGTTCCTTGGGCAATACCAGTGGCGATATATCATTGTGGTATGTGTTGCCATGCTTCGTCCCCGGTTTGCAAGTGCCGTTGCTAATAAATGGACAGGACGAAGGACACCGCTTGAAGAATATGAACTGTCGACTAATCAAAGAGCTCCTCACCTATAACTCTGCAAACAGACTCCTTATCACAGGCACGCCGTTGCAGAATAACATAACTGAGCTCTGGTCGCTGTTGCATTTCCTGCTGCCCGAGATCTTCAACGACCTTGATAGCTTCCAGAGCTGGTTCGACTTCTCGTCCATGTTGGACAGTAGCGACAAGACGAATGTTATCGAGCGCCGAAAGCGTACTCTGGTGTCCACAATGCACTCCATCCTGAAGCCGTTCCTGTTAAGACGTGTCAAGACCGACGTCGAGATGTCGCTTCCTAAGAAGAGAGAATACATTCTCTACGCACCTCTGACAGCCGAGCAAAAGGATCTCTACCGTGAGATTCTCAACGGCACCGGCCGTCAATACCTCGAAATTAGGGCAAGAGAAAGATTGATGGCCAAGAACGAGCGCCTAACACGGTCCGGGAGTGTGAAACGCAGCATTGATAGCAGCGGTGACACCACACCAAACAAGAGCCTAAAGTCCAGTCGTTCTTCTACTCCAGCCAGCACGACCAGTTCCACACGCAGGCGAAAGGGACCTCAAAGCTACAAGGAAATAAGCGACCGTGAATTCAACTCGAAGCTGCGGAAGCTCGAGCAGGGGATAGAAGACGATCTGGACATCGAAGGCCCAAGCGAGACCGAGCAGGAGGAGATCGAAAGAGCAAAGACTTTCAAGCTCGCCAGTAAGTCCACTCTCCTATGATACATGTACATTGTGTGTTTGACGCCAACGTTTCCAACAGAGCAAGAAGTAGCCCAAAAGAAAATGCAGAACCCGGTCATGCAGGCACGACTAGCTTGTAATTCGCCGCATAACTTCTACTGGCCGTGGAATGACGAGCCGGTCGACAAATCATTAATAACTGCGTCAGGGAAGATGCTGCTGTTGGACCGGCTTGTCACACGCCTTCTAGCCAATGGGCATAAGATTCTCATCTTTTCCCAATTCAAATCACAGCTGGACATTCTCCAGGATTGGGCCACTCAACTCCACTCCTGGAACTGCTGTCGTATCGACGGTGCAATCAGCCAGACTGACGACGAGAGCAAATCAAAGCCTTCAACACAGACTCTGACTACAAGATCTTCCTCCTGAGTACACGAGCGGGTGGACAAGGCATCAATCTTATGGCAGCCGACACTGTCATCCTATTCGATTCCGATTGGAACCCACAGCAGGACCTCCAGGCCCAGGACCGCGCCCACCGCATCGGCCAGACACGACCAGTGATCGTGTATCGCCTAGCAACAAAGGGCACCGTTGAGCAGACGCTGCTCGAAAAAGCCGATTCGAAACGTCGTCTAGAGCGACTCGTCATCCAGAAGGGCAAGTTCAAGAGTCTTCTAGATCCCACCTCGCAGGATGACGTCGAGGATCTGAGAAAGGCTCTCGGCGAAGATGAGTTCGAGCGTTTCGAGGCCGGTACGGATCCCAGTCGTCTGTTGTCTGATAATGATCTCGATATCTTGACGGATCGCAGCGAGGAGGCCTATGCTCGTGCTGAGAAAGGTCTGGACCACAGTGGACGGGCTTTCTTGGCTGTCGAGACGAAGAAAGATGGCCTTATGGCGCAGATTACTGGAAAGGGGTAATTTGGAATCATAGTTGTAATAATAATAGCGCAATTTCTCTTTCACTTCGACAGCTGTGACGGAGACTGGATACTTAATATATTGGTACGGGGACCATTTATTTTTGTCTTGCGTAGCACCCATCTATATATATTCATTCTAGGTAAATATCAACCTGGATCACTCGGCCAGTCCGAACGACCCCAAGATTATTATTATACTATACAAAGCGTCTTCTAAACCCCAAACGAAGAACCAACACCCCTTCACAGATAAATATAACAGAAAGGCCCACCAGTACCACCAGTAGTATCCAACAACTCCCTAATAGTCTTGGGAGGGGCCAAAGCAGCACTCATATCCACGATATCATCCAACGTAGCATTCGGCGACGACTCCACAATACCAGGAAGTACAGTCGGTCCATTAACAACATAAGTGCGGTTCACAGGGTCCTGATTCTGCCAGGTCCAGAACGCCCGGTCAATCGCCGCATGGTGAAGAAAGAAAGCCGGGTCACCGGGGGAAGCAAAGAAGTCCTACAGCACACGACGTCAGTAACTGAAATCATATCGTATAAACCTGACCAAAAAAAAAAGAAAAAAAAAAAAAAAAAAAAAACCCAGTCCAACGTACACCGCCAGGATCGCCACCGATGGTATAATGACCACCACTATGCAGACCGAGGAAACCGCGGGGAAAGTCGCCCTGCATGGTCGTCTCGTAGTCCCAGATATCTGTTTCGTTGACGATCAGGTCCACGACTTGCTTGGTTGTGGTCCACTGGGCGGCCTGCTTGGAGATGTCTCGGCGGAGGCAACGGGGGTTGTAGTTCAAGCCGGTGCCGTTTTGTGCGACGAGGCCTGGGATCTTGAGACTTGGCATGAGGGGGCCGAGGTTCACGGTGAAGCTTTTGGGGGGGAAAGAAATGGCGTGTTAGCTGGGAAGTAGTAGATTTTCCTTTGGGGATTGGAGCAGCAGCTTACTTCTTGAATGGACCGGATTGGACACAGCCGCCTCCGTTTGAGGGCTTCAGGAAGATCCCGGGCGCGGCTTCGGTGGCATTGTGGGGGACGAAGGAGCCGTCTCCCGACATGCTGTACTCCGAGCCGTCGAAAATGGGCGAGTTGACCGGGTCGTCGGCGTACTTGTTCCAGGCCCAGTATGGCTGAGAGCCGGTGTAGCCGCACTCGTTTCGGAGGGCTTGCTCGTAGGCCCAGGTGAAATAGCGGTGCCAGGTTAAGAAGTTGCCCTAATGGGGTCAGGGTGGGGGGGGGGATCTTCTCTCAGAGTCTGCAGTGCGACAGGGTCATACCGTTGAATGGATAAACATCGTCTGGTTAATGTGCACCGCTACGAAATCATCGTAGCGGGAGCGAGCCCCAGGAGCGAAGGAGGGGTCGGACTTTGAAGGCTTGGAGGATAGACAGAGGACGGCATCGATGTACTCCCGGCGTTCCTTCTTGGATAGAGCTCCCCTGTGGTGGTACAGTTCAGTTAGACATTGCATTTGCGTATTGAGGGATCCAAGGTGCGTACCATTCTCTGCGAGCCGACGCGGTGTACGGAGTACAGGCACTGCTGGCTTCTGGATTTGTGTAGTGATACAGGATTTGGTTCCCCAGGGCCTTGCCAGCGAGTACATCCCACTCATCCATGGAAGTGGGAGATGCGGTTGCTGGTGATAGGGCAGCAAAAGCTGCGACGATTGGAATCCAACTGCGCATGGTTATGGTCACCTCGTCTTGAGGATGGGCACTGCGATGGGGAGAAAGTAAGTGAGGAAGAAATTTGAGGCTGGAGGGAACCGGTCAAGAGCTTTTTTATTACATCTTGACGAGCTCTGGGTGAACTCTGAACGGAGTAGATAGTTTGACTCTAGATTGCCGGCTAGGACAGCCGGATATGCCGCCGCCAATTGAGGCCCCAGAAAGTCATCCGACTAGGGCTAGGGAGGTATAGTACTTAAGACGTTAACTATTTTTTGCTTGGAGGCCTGGTGTGGGGAGTAAAAGCACCGAGACAGCCATCACTTTAGTGGGACGCGAGAGTCGGAATGCGGAAATTAGTAGAGATATAACAAAATTAATGAGGGAAAAAAAAAAAAAAAAAAAAAAAACCCGGGGCCAGACTGCTCATGGAGACACTACTGCGTACGCCATGACTTATACCGAGGAGCATGTCATGTCTTTAGTCCTGCCCGGGCAACGGTAGAGAAGAACTACGGCAGTTAGAATAGAATAGACTCCACAGCATATGTGACATCTGATTGTCCCTCCATGGCAGATCACCAAAAAGAAGAAGAGAGGGAAATGCAAAGAAGTTCTCGGGGCAGATTCAGAAGTATTGAGGTTACAGTAGTGGCGGAGACCCAGTTGACAGTTGGCTAGTGCGAACAGGGATCGCTTGAGCTTCATGGCGAATGTATTTAGCCGTCCAATTCCGAGGTTGATGTGGGCTGGATGTCTCAAAGGATCCTCCGATGCCAAGGCACTTGCTCCGTTTCAAAGATTGGCTAGTAAGTTAGTTAGTGAGTGAGTCCAGTCGACTTAGTCAAGGCTCGTATAACTAGACTACCCTCCATAGAGTACAATGGCCGTAACATGGTAAAAGCGACCTTGCTTTGCCGCTTGGTATTTCGTACTGGAGCCTTTTCGCTGTCGGTGGGAAGAACATCTTGAGCTTAGGAGCCATGCCCATCGAAAATTAAATTCCACCCACCCTCGTGTTGTCCACTGTCCATCAATTTATATTGGGGCTTACCGGGCTTCGTATAGCCTGCATTAGCGGGGGCTAAATGTAGATTAAGCCACTAGAACTTGGCCAAGGCCCCAACGGTTCAACGGACTAATTCCTCCGTTCCTATACTTCGTACTTTATATTAAGATATATTAAGACTCACCTTATTACCCGCTCGATGATACCCTATCGGCTCACCTTCGGGGCATTTCCCTGCAGGCGCTAGTTAGTCCATGGGCCGATTACCCACTCCTTAGTACCTACATACGGCTCAAGTATGACACCGTGCGCCTTCCGCCCGAATCCTTTACCCACACCCCCAAGGAAGCACAACACTGACCATCGATGGAAGGAAGGTAGTAAATTCAATAGAAAAAGACGAGACACAGATAGATCTGAGGATTGAGTTAAGAAGGTCTTCATCTCTGTTAATATCATGTGGGAGTAGGATAGCGAGACTCTCAGAACCTACCGCGGCAGAGTTAGGGCTTGCTTTATAAACGCTCCCCAGGGATGTACACGGAATTACATTGGTCAATTCGCTTCTACTCGTGGACTCTGTAGAATCCCGGCTCTTTATCCCTGCTAGTTCCAGTTTCATATTTAATGGGTAGCGGCGCAGATAACTTGCATCTGCTAGGCATAGGCTGGATTCCTTTAGTGGCTGGACATACGGAGCATCCGTTTGCGGCAACGGACGAAAAGGCATAATGGCTTTCCATTAAGTTCCTACAGGCCGATGAAATACCGATCCTTAGGAATAATTCAGCTGAATTCATTCATCCGATCAAAACAAACGTACGCCCCTTGTATCTCCGAAATTCCGACTGTGTGCTGTATTTGCTGGACGCTAGTGCTTCCTTAGAGAGATAGCCCTATACAGGCTTAATTTAGAATACAGAGACTCAATTTTCTACGAGTAAGTCAGTTTACAGCGGCCATGGGGATTCCTCTTTGCCTCCATCGAGATCATGATCGATATCATGCATTCTAGCGGGGATCTACTACCGAGACAAGCAGCAGCAGCATCGGCAGATACCCCCAGCGACAGTCGAGCTCCACATATCCTGGCCATCATTGGGTCCCTGACAGGTCTGTCGGGCTTACTGGTCGCATTACGCTGCTACGTGCGACTCTTTCTCCTGCGCAAATTCCTCCCAGACGATGGAGTAATCGTTGTATCCTTGGTAAGTGATACAACCCATCAGATACTCTCAACCACTACTTCTATACATCAACTTTCCTAACCGAATAGGCACACAGTTATGCGCCTTTGGCGTCCTAGCGTGTTTCGTTGGCGAGTCGCACCATGGAGTCGGCCTTTTCTCCGACGACATCAAGCCGGAAGATTTCCAGGTCCTCAGCGAGTACATGTTCTATCACGCAATCGTCATAGTGCTCGGTATAAGCCTGGTCAAGGTTTCGCTGGCTCTCTTTTTACTCCGGTTTGCATCACCAAATAAGAACCTGAAACGGTTCATTGTCGGGGCGCTTGGTGAGTTTGGGTCTGTGGACATACTCGATATATAACTGACAAGGAACAGGGTTTCTTATTGTCTTTACCATTGCGTGTATCATGACGTTGATCTTCCAGTGTCTTCCGGTCCGAGCGGCTTGGGATTTCTCATTAAGACAGAATGCCCGGTGCTACTCGATGAAGACTTATCTGGCCATTGGAGAATTCAACAGTGGTATGCTCCATCCTCAGACATTATATGTATACCGTGAACAGGGAAGAGCTCATACCAATTGACTGTAGCAATCAACATCGCGACAGATTTTGTATTCGCAACCCTACCCGCGTTCATGTTCTACAAGGTGCAAGTCAATAAGCGCACCAGGGTCTCGTTGATGGGCATCCTCAGCCTTGGTTATTTGTATGTGACCTCCTCTTCCTGAACTGTGACTATAGCCTTCCAGCTAACCCACACAATCTTACAGCGCCTGTGCAGCCGGGATTGTGAAGACCGTTCTTCAGAGCCAAATCTTCGACGAGCCAGATCCGTATCGGTACGCTTCGACCATATATATATATATATCCCTGAACGCGATAATGGTTGACAGACAGCTAATTTTCTAATTCTGCATTTCCGACATCTAGCGACTGCCAATACCTCATTTGGAATTGGTATGTCTTTCCCCCATCCAGCCCGCAGTTCTCAAACGATAGCACATAACCGGCGTCCTTCATGACCCGCCAAAGGCTAACTGTTCTTAGTATCGAACTAAACGTCGGTATCATTGCTGCGTCGTTCCCGACCATCAAGCCCCTTGTGAAGTCTGTCATTGGGACAACGCTGAGTTTCACTAGCGGTGTGCGCAGCGGGAAGCGCAATGGACAGGGATACCATGTGAGGTCTAGTTATATTATGCATTCGCTGCAGCAGAGCCGGACTGTGAACGAAGACCAGAAGTATAGTGTTCAGATTGGAACCCTTGATGGGTCTGATAGGGGGAGTGAAGAGAATTTGACTCAGCGACCCCGTCGGGGGTCTCTGTCGAGGATAATACAGACTACGGAGGTGATTGTACATAGTGAGGAAAGTGCAGATCTTAGGGTTATGAGGATCGGACCGGCGAGGACTGTCGATGACCGTGTATGACTTTTGTTTGTTCGTCTATTATGCTGACTCTCGTTGGTGGGGAAATTTTATGCTGTTTATTAGCATCAAGACGGGTTATATACTGTACAGTTAATGGGCTTGCCTGGTATGTAATGTGACAGGGACTGGTGAATCCTCTAATTAATCAAATCATCAAAAAGCAAAGAACACATCCATTAAGCGCCTGAGCTCCTCGCCAGAGAAATGGCTGTACATCAAAGAAAAGGATCACGAAAGACCTCTCACAAGGAAATCAAGTAATACGGGGGGGTTGGAGGTACTCAAAGTTGTATTTCAGAAGGGACAAACAGAGCAGAATGGGACAAGATCACTACCGTGACACCTTCTCTTCTTCGATCTGTGTTCGTATATCGGCGAGTATCTCGTTCCGATTGGCAAGGTGGCTTTTAAGTCCATCCACCTGCTCGCCGACGGCCTTCACATCCTCCCTGAGCCGCTCTAAGTTTTGGCCTTCCTTGGACCTCCCAGTGCCTTCCCTAAGTTCGCGAAGCTCACGCTCCTTGTACTCCAGAAGCTGAAGTGCTTCCTTTTTGATCAGGCCCCAGCTGGTACTGCCATCGGTCCTGGGTTGATCCCTGCGTCCTTCGGAGGCTTGTTGTGCGGAATTCAACTTGGTCTCCAACTCCGCAAGCTCGCGCCTTAGCCGAACCTTCTCCCATTCCTCATCCTGAATAGTATCGTTGAAGTTTGTGCCTTTGGGGGTATAGGACGATTTTCCTCCGGCACCCAACCGACTCAAGTAGGTATCGCCAAATTTAGTCTTTCGACCAGTTGGTGTCTCCGTGTCGCCGTCTGCACCCCATTTCTGTGCCGGACGAGCATTATCGACCTGATAATCGATATTATTGTTTTCAAACGAGGCGCGGAGGGAAGCAGGAACGGTGCGGGGAATGCGGAAGCCCTCATGTCGGTAGTTCAGTATATGCAGGAACGCAAGGGTAGCGTCTTTATTAATTGTGTGGGATGCGGAGGGGTTGACCAAATTCCACGCGGAACGGACATCGGTGTCGGGGACATCGAGCGAATCGTAGAGTGGTTGCAATGATTCAACTGTACGGGGACATCTACGTATTAGTTCGGAACGCGAGCGGTTAAGGGATGCGGCCCCGCTTCAACGGGGAGCGCTGACGTACATGCGATTTCACCACGTTGGTTTCTGTTGGCATTGTATATCTCTTCGTATTTGGATTTGTCGGCGGGCTTCATGTACCATTCGAATCCATCTTTCAGTCCAGGAGTATCATCTTCATCTTCTATCCGTTCGAACTGTTCGGGTTGAGTGCTCAATGCCCGGGTTGCATGGACTAAATGAGACTTGGATTCAGGGACGAGCCAATCGGGTAAAACAGCTGGGACAGTTTGTAATTCCTAGTTGATATTGAATCTTAGCAGCAGCACTCAAAAACAGTATGAATTGTGACAAAAACGCTGAACAATCGCAAGGAAGACGGCATGGGGCAGGTAGAGGCGCACGGGAAGGCATGGGGTAATAGGGGAGATAGCATACACCGTTGACCAGGTCGAACACTAATCGCATGGCGACACAAAACTCTTCGAAATCCAACTCCCCATCACCATCCACATCGGCCAAATCCCAGACCTTTTCCAGTTGCTCATCCTGAAGCCGACTGTTCCTGAGCACTGAGGCGGCCTGGGAGTTGTTCAGACGGGGCTGACCATTTGCTAATGAAGCGAAGATCTCCCAGTATCTTTCTATTTCCCATTGCTCAATTTTCTTATTTGACATGATGTGAGCGACCCGGTAGACCAGTGGGTACAATGTCGTTATTAAGAACCGAGTAATGAGAAGCGACTATAAAGGATGTTTGGCTGGAGATGGCTCACGGGTCATTGAGTGGTTAACCGTTTCGGGCATCCCGCGGCGGGCTCCCATGGGGCACTCGGATCATGTTAAATCCGGCAGGTGATATGCAGGGAACAGGAACCGTTCAATTGTTCCATACTCTAGACCTACAACTGTAATAGCATGGGGATCCACTGTATTCATGGAAAGTTATACTTACTCCGTATACCAATAATAAAGTCTTCGTATGTATCATACAATTACCGTGAAACCACCCCCCAGTCTATGTACCATACCCATAACCACCATCACCAACAATAGCAGCCATAGCTTAGCTGTCCAATTTAAACACACGGACAGATGCACAACTAGTTACTCTATATTTGAGTCGCTCACGACTCTTTCTCTTTTGGGCTGTTTTTCCTTTCGTCTTCGCCCGAGGACGAGTTATCCGTTCTCAACTTCTCCTCGACCTGGACAATAGCTCGTTCGGCTTCCAAAGCAAGCTCCGGTGCTTCAAGGATTGAAGCCAATTTCTTAGCATCGTCCATCCGAAGCAGCAATTTGTCGTCACTTTTCTCCACGTCCTCTACCATGCTTGAGATTGACTGTTCAATGTTAGACATTTCTAGCGCCCGTGAAACCCGCTTTGCATATAGTCGCTCCAGTGCTGGGTGCGATATCGGATTTAGAAGGTCCCTCTCGACCAAGAATTCCAAGTGTTTAGATCCATTTAATGCTGGAACCAGTCAGCAACGCCGTTACACGTAGGAAGGTGAAAGAAGCGCACCTCGCCAATGGGACCATCCTCGATACACAAGATAGAAGAAAGGGATGTTAGGTATCCTGTCATTCCATCATTAGCTCACCACTCCCTTTGTGAAAGTTTTCTAGGGAACAGCTTAGCTCTCATACAATGGAATGAGCCCAATTGGAGCAGTAAAAGGGCTCGCGATGAAGCTCCACCACATCCTCTTTCGATGTAGGTCCTGCCTATCAGTAGCAATCTTGTGCAAGATCGACTTGAGCTTTTCAGTTTTGACCGCATTTCCTGGGAAAAGCACATCTATCTTCTGCGACCCATACGATTCATCAAGTCGTCGCTGAGCATTGAGTGAAGGAATACTCTTGAGCCCCCATTCTTCATAAGGAATCCGCTGTTGGACCTTATTTCCCCACACGACCAAATGTTTTTTCCAACCCTTTTCGGCTTCCTCCCATTGAGCCCATGTTTTGGCAGCTTTGTTTGTGATTCGATCGAGTATGGACAGCTCCTTTGCATGATCCCGACGGAGCGGTCGAGCATATATCAGGGCCCGTCTCGTCGAGATCGGAATGACGAAGAGTCGCATGGCAACGTTTTGTCTTTGGCCTTTCTCCTTCGTCCCTTTTTTGTGGGTTCGCGGAATTCAATTGAGGAACACAGGGGAATTGTTGAAAACGGCGAGGGAGTACACGACTAGTGATCAACTAGGGAAAACAACCGATTCAAGGGAGCTTGTAAAAATAGCATTCCTTCTTCTAAAGCGAGATTAAGATTAGTTTTTATAGTTTTTTTTTTTACTTCTTCTTTAGGGTTTTTGTTCTCTTTTGCCCCTTGATAGGTATGACGGAGGCGAATAAAACAAGCTGAGAGTGGTGGAAGGTGGACGATGGTTGTTTGGTCGCGGGCGGTATTGAGAGACGTCATTCCGCACCCAGCGAAAAGATTAGTGCCGTAATTATCAACGGAACATTTCCCAAGAGGGATAAATTACTAGTACTTCTCTGGGTTTAGCAGCGTCAAGCAACTATTACCACCAGAATTGTTTCTCTCCCCCCGTTCTTCCCCAGCCCCCCTCAAGGCTGTAATTGCCGTGATCTTGCACTTTCTTGAGCTCCTATTCTAATCTAATGACCTGTTCCCTCAAAAGGGTCATAAGCTTGCTCGGTTTCCAGAGAAACGCCGTGTTCTCGGGGCTGAGGGGGCTGTGAAGCGGCGATGCAGGCGAGATCCATTGTCTTCCCATAACTTCTGACAGCCGAAGCAACCTCATCTGGAACGACCCATTGGAGTAGAAGGCGATGGCACAGGATGCGCGCATTTTGCGCGCACTTCCTTCAGGTCCACACTCGGTTTTAGATCCTCAACTAAGCGAGAAAACAACCAAGACAGAATGGATGTCTGGAGCCATCAACCACGCTCAGAACGAGCAGACTAGTCATGACCAATTTCCCGAACTTCCTCGCAATGGCACGCTGGAATTGTCGCCCAATGTCTTACAGGCTCTAGAGGAAGCATCAACAGAGGATGGCCAGGATCATGTCGTATTAGAGAAGAGATTGCGAACTCTTCCAGGTGCGTAATATACTCGACAAACCCCAGCCACCTTTGGCGAAAGCTTTACTGATAACAGTTTATGCAATAGCCTGGATCGGATCTGTTGATTACAAGGAACCTGAGGGCGAATCTTCTGCCGCCTCACGACTACTACCTTCGCATCCCGATGATGCCGTTGTCGCTCAGCATAACCACTCACCCTATACGACTGCAAAAGTAGACTTCGCGGGTCGAGGAACAAGCTTGGAAGAAGGGCGCGCGACATCGCCTCGTGAATCGCGTTGGAAAAATTTCTCTAAATCAATTGCCTACCCGAGGGACCCAGGTGCTGGGGAAAAACTTGTGACCCCCGAATGGCTGAACGAAAACCATGGTGACTACTCGCAACCATGGCGTGGAAGACTTGAAGACTGGAGTGGGGAGGATACAGAAGATCCGCTGAGAATGAAACGGCGGAGAGAGATTTGGTTTAAACGCTTCCATCATACCTTATTGAAGAGTCCTATAGTACCCTTGGTTTTTCGCCTAACGGTGTGGGTCTTTTCGCTCACTGCGCTTGCGCTTGGAGCCTCCATTCAGCATATGTCGCGTGCATATGTGCATCCGCAGGGCCCCTCAGCACTAATGGCGATTATTGTTGATGCCGTGGCCCTGGTTTACCTGGTGTATATCACCTGGGATGAATATACTTCCAAACCGCTGGGCCTTCGCTCCCCATCGGCCAAAGCACGGCTTGTCCTTCTGGACATTTTCTTCATTGTCTTTGACTCTGCCAACCTAAGTTTGGCCTTTGAGTCACTGTCCACAGTTAGTGGCGCATGCACCATCGGTGAGGTTAACCAGCAGGTGGCTCCTAAGAACGATGCAATCTGCGACCGACAAATCGCGCTAGCCAGTGTTCTATTAATTGCTCTTTTGGCTTGGCTTACAACATTCGCCATTAGTGTTTTAAGGTACATCCATCTGCCCATTTACCTTTCTGTTTCTTTCTCCACAATGCGCAGGACTAATCGCTTTAAACAGACTCGTAGATCGCGCTGCACAATGATGCTCCTTTTGGCTTTTTAACATCTTATCTTGCACTATCTATTGCCTTAAAAATAGTTTCTTGCTTCGTTCATTCATTCCAGGAGGCTCAGCTCCAAGCCCTCTTTT